GTACGTAACGTGATCGTCGAGCTGTCTGAATCTTGCAGGGGATTATTACATGTAAACCGTAATAGATTATGAATTGAAATCGTTGTGGTCGCGTCGCGGCTTCAGTGGCATAATGGATTCTGGCTGCATTGATGACCGGCGTTCACGGTTGCGTATAGTCACGTATATACGCGTAAATATATACACGTTACAGAACGCTTCTGTTTTCGCGAAACGCTTTTCTTGCTGACTTTGCGGAATTATGATATCCGAAGAACTCAATCCCTCGTAATGTAAAAACGCGTATATTTTTATTCCAATTCTCACAAATGCTGGTTTTTCTAGAGCTCTGTTTTACCATCGGGAGTGTTGGTGAACGGGGAGAGGCACCCCTTGGCGAGGGATGGTCTTGAGAGATTTTTCCTCGGTGCCTGTTTGCATGCAACCAGAATAGCACCTACGGTGTAGGTTTAACGCGTGCAACATGTATCGTCATTTTCGCCCAATATTTCTATACATCCCCGTGTGTTACATTTCGCGTAAATGTCGAAAGAAAAGTTAAATTTCGCTGAGAAAAATGAAATCTTCAGGTGGGGTAATTTTTTCGGTGAGATCGGTGAATCGTGCTATCGAGAAGTTTTCATTGCCGAGGAAATTCAGTCTGCGAGTTGGGAAACGGCCGATAACGCAGTCGGTTGTGGTATCGCATTAGTTGATATCTACGGCGGTAAACTTAGAGGAATGTAGTCTCGAATCATCGACGAAATACTATTAAAACCGAGGATCTTATTGAGAGTTAATGTAGAAAAAATTGCAAACTAATATTCTCCCAGAATAAGAAATCATAATTGAAAAGAAATTATAGCTCTGACGAAATATTATCAAGAACGTCCAATTGTGGATAAATTTCACTTCTGCTTATCCAACTGCTATTTTATTATCAACAATTTATATATTTTTATATAATAAACTGTAAAAATTGAAAGAAAGTAACAGCCTAATGAAAGAAGGCCTAATGAAAGGAAAGAAGAGATTCGTTTTCTAATCGAAAAATAAATCATGTAAATGATAAATTACATATCATTCGTATATATTTATTTAATAATTGTTTTAAATAAAATATAGTGATAACAGAGGAACATGAGAAAACAATATGTAAATCACCAATGAAATATTTTTAAAGATTAATAATCCTATGCAAATTTGTGTACCATATTCCCATGTTGCGTTTACATATTTTACTTGATACAATATCTGTTGATATGATATCTGTTTTTCGTATAAAGCTATAGTTTTATTTTTATTTTGCAAGTTTGAGAGTAATAGTGATAATAACAAAAAGATAGATGCTCGCATTTGTATGATATTATTGAGTCATAAATATACATGCTTATTTGTATACAAAGCATTTATATAATATGATTTATGGATTAATGTTACGTAAGAAGCTAGTAATTAGATATTTATAATAAATATAAAATATCAACAGTCGACAATATATGTTATATGTCGTTAATATACTTCAGTAAATGTCTCCGAGCTTCTGAAATTTTCATAATAATTATGAAAATTTACATAAGATTTATAGTAGTGCATCGTCATTGGTTTAACGAATATCTAACATAGATGCAAAGTTGAGAAATAAATCTGCAAAACAAAATATCAAAGTATAGATATCAAATTTTATGAGATATGAAATTAATATTTAATTGCTAACTCGCAATAAAAGTAATAAAATCTCGAGACAAATTGTAAAATTTTGAATCGAGAATTTTACAGCAATCTCCATCGAAGATAACAATTGTTGAATCTTATTAAAAATTGAGAAATATTGAGAATATTGATCAAGAGCATTAGCAAAATTTGTTTTGTCATGAGACACACACACACACACACACACACACACACACACACGTGTATATATGTGTATTAATATTGTTCATCTGGTTTCTCCTTATTTCTTTTTTATATTCATCATTAATATATATTAAATAAATTGTATATAATATAATGTGATGTATATTGTACATAAAATGATTCAAATCAAAAGTGAACAATCTATAAATATTTCAAATTTAATGCTAAAAACGTAATCTTTCCTTATGAAAAAGAATTATCCAGATTATTAAATATTGTTCACACTAGTTTAGTGAAATTATAGAAATTGATCAGTAATATATTTCACTGTTAATATTGGAAATAGTATTTTAACAATCCCAAATAGTTTTTTTTTCTTGAATGAATATACAATTACAAATTTGTGATGTTACACTACCAAGTTGTATATCATATAATGGTTTTATAAATATTTTTATTTGTCATTATGGTTGTTACATAACGATGATAAGAATTTTTCTTGTAACTAACATGTCACCGTTATAACAAATTATGACGACAAATTTGAGAACGTTTCCGTTTCATTTGCGTAACATTCAATTTAATTGTTACATTACAAGAAATCAGCAGTATGCAACTGTTATATTTTTGTGATGTAAACATACATTTGCTGGAAAGAAATGGAAGATTAATAATAAGATCATATTAAATCATGAAATTAATATTATATCTATTTTAGAAATTTTGTAAGAGCCGTCCTTACCGACGTTAAAATACAATATTTCGATTTTGTATTTGCAATTTAATTATAATTTTTATGAAAATAATTTTTAAATTTATTTGGAAATAGAAAATAATACTATGTGAAGCAAATTTTATAACATTCAATTTTAATTTAATTTCAATTTTAATTGAGATATGTACAGAGATATGTAAAAATAATGCTGGGAAATTAAATATAGTTTATATTTTAATTAATTTTTTATATCTATTTAATGATATTATTAGACAGTAATATTTTTCAAATTTAAAATCACTGAGAAAAAGAGTTTCAAGCTGATCAATTATTGAGGGACAACGAGGGAAAAATTAAATGCAACAAAAAATAAAATGCAAATAGGATGCATATTCGTGTCAGAAAGCTATTCAACGTCTGTAATGTTGAATTCAAGATCGATATTAAATAACACTCATTAGCGTGTTAGCACGGAACACAACCAGAAAACCATGAGAATGTTCTGTTATCCATTGGAAAATTCCATCAGTCACTACGTAGTTCAGAGTCCATGTCTATGGAAGTAGCGCGTGTCGCCAAAATGGGTTTTGTTAAAACTGGAGCCGTGGCCATTCTCAGGATTTCTCTCTGTTCAAAGGTCGCTCGTGAATTTAACGCATCATGAATTTTTTCTAATTAGAATGAGCTCATTGACCTTGAAGGCGGACTTATATACGTCCAATGCGATTGCAATTTCGGTAAATCAGTAAATGGCATCGGTAAATGACAAGGTGATACTTGGACTGTACGGCATTGCAGGGCTCATTTTTGGCTGCCTATTACAATTGTTTTTCGGAATGGATAAGTGGATCATCATGCTTTCTTGGTGTAACGTTGCGATCATTGCGCTTGGTGTCTTCGCGCTCTTCATGATATTTGAAGAAAAGCTCTTCTGGACGAAAAAGACAAAAAATATTAGGAACAAACATGTTGTGGTGAGTGTCATCTAACTTCGAAGGAACACTTTGAATCAAATGACATAAAATGACGGCGTGACAATACGCAATAAGGTTAAATCTCTTTTACTTTATCTTGTAAAATAATATTTTTTTATAGGTTACCGGTGGTTCCAGCGGCATTGGGAAATGCATAGCAATTCTCGCCGCAAAGCAGGGGGCAAACGTCACGATAATCGCAAGAGATGTGCAAAAGTTAGAGAGAGCGAAACATGAAATACTGCAAGCCTGCGAAAACAAGGATACACAGAGGGTAGAGTACTTATCTTTAGATATTGGAGGAAATTATGAAACCGTTGAAAAAGAATTGACCGATCTGGAGAATTTTATGGGACCAATTTATATGCTCGTAAACTGTGCTGGTCTCGCGATCGGTAGCAAAATAGAAGACACCACCATGGAGAATCTCGATAAAATGATGCGCACAAATTTCCTGGGCACATATTATTGCATTAAGGCTGTGGTACCGAAAATGAAAGCAGCCAAGGAAGGGATGATTGTACTTGTTTCATCTCAAGCTGGTCTCCTAGGTTATTTGACGTAAACAAATTTCTTTATATTTTATTTTTTATTAGTTTAATTTATTAATTTATCTACAATTAATTATCACATATGTTATTATATTATTTATTATACACACACACATATATATATATATATATATATATATATATATATATTGATTGATTGATATATATATATGGATTATGGCATTTACATATAAAAAAGAAATTATATTGCACAGGTATTTTTGGATACTCCGCTTACTGCAGTACAAAATTTGCTCTCCGTGGTTTGGCGGAAAGTTTAGCGATGGAACTGCGACCTTACAATATCTCTGTTACTTTATCTTTGCCACCAGACACAGACACACCTGGTTTCGCCATCGAAGAGCTGTCAAAACCTACGGAAACAAAAGCCATATCAGAAATGGCAAAGCTAATGAAGCCCGAGATCGTCGCAGAGAAGATTTTAAAAGACACACTGGTTGGTATATAAAAGATGATAGGCTAAAAGTAACTTTTCTTTGACTTACATTAAATGGCATATTGTAGGCAAGTAATTTCTTCTCTACTGTCGGTCTGGAAGGCTTCATACTGACTACGTTATGCGCGGGGATGTCGCCGATCAAGTTGATTCGCCAGCTGTTCATGCAGGTGTGCTTGATGGGTCCGATGAGGCTCGTCGGCGCGGCTTATCTCTTCTTCTTCCATAGAGTCATCGATAATTGCAAGGACATGCGTGAAGCTTTAAAAAAAGTTAGTTGAGAAAGAATTCCTCATAACATTCTGTGATGCGCGATTAAGAGATTAAACACGACATTCTAAGGTAAAGCACTTAATACAGTTTTAATAATATTTCTCGCTCCATACGCTCGTACTTTGTATCATCAGACGACAATTGATTCGCGCTTGCATAATACGCTCGATTCCTTTTCATAAAACTTTTTTAAATAAAATTTATTCCTCAGCGCAGTGAATTTAGTTTTTAATGTAAAATATATTTCTAATATCTAACATTAATCTAACATAAAATTCGTATGTATGATCGACGTAATAATATGATATATGTCTGTCCAATGATAAATATATACATGAAAGAAAATAAATATATGTGCATGAAAAAAAGATCAATACACAATACGGTGGTACGTAACGCAAAGTGGAGCATTTCGGAAAGAAATAAAACACGCTCTCAACGGTTTGGCTTACTTTTATTAGGTATTCCGTAAGTTCATAGTATAATGTTTTTTTTTTCTTTTATTAAGCTTTTATGGTTCTTACACATATAGAACGGGACTGCTCTTCGTCCCGCTTCTCGCCACAATAGGTTAAAAACGGAAACGCTGAAACTGGTATGTAAAGAGTACTCCCGAGAACGTGGACGCGGCACCCCATACGACGTCGATCGCGTTTGTTCGTCGTTGATGAAAGACCGAACCCTCGCGCACGTTGTAAATAATGAAATAAATTTCTCTCCCCTCGCGTCTGGAATCCAGTAAATAAATATACCGTGCACAATATACCGCGATCGGACGTCGGAGGAGCGTGACGCGCGTCCAGCTTCCGAAAAACGAGACTAAACTTATGCGTAGAAATGGCGGTCAACAAAGATTTGTCTCCCGAAATTGCGAGTCCGGTAATAATGGGTTTTAACATTGATTTATTATCTCGCTTTCGCTCTTCCACATTTCTATCTCTCTTTCTCTCTCTCTCTCTC